AGCTCTCTGCGGTGGTCATGGTGGTCTTTGATCCTGTGCATGTGCGCCGCTTGGTCCTCTGTCCGCGATGGGACTGGTATGGTGTTTACTGGCCTCTTGGATGGAGTTCCTGATGTGCTCACTCTGTTGGATGTTGTCCTGGTGCAGCAATTCTCTATTCCGTTGCTGAAGGTGGATGATGGTACTAAGGTGTTGTTTCACTCACTGCATACCTGGGAGGACTTCTTCAAACTGGTCGATGCTTGCTGCGGGTTGGGTGGTCCTACGCATGGGGCTCATGCCGTTGGTTTGCAAACCATGGTTGCTGTTGACTCTAGTGCCCGTATGGTGACCTTTTACAAGGTTCATGGAGGATGTGAGTATGTGATCGGTGATGCTGGCTGTCCCCAGGTGATCGCTGGAGTGTGGTCCAAGTGTAATCATGCTGCGGTGATGAGTGCGGGATTTTCATGTCAGCCGTTTTCCCAGTTGAGTGATCGGAAAGGAGGGGCAGACCCTTGTGCTATGTCCCTTCCTTACAACCTTAGAGCTGCACTGTCTCAGCGTGTTCATGGTTTGGTACTTGCATGTGTTGTCCCTGCATGCAGAGATCCGTTCGTCTCACAACACCTTCATAGGTTTGTCGACTGGTCTGGAGTTGTGAAGGAGAACATCAACCTTGTGCTCTCTGCTATTGGTCGGGTACTACTGTTGATGCAGAACCAAACACAGATTGACGGGCAGTTTCTGGAGTTCACCCACCATCAGTCTCAACAAGTTTCGAATCTACAGGCCCTGATGCAGGCCCAGTCTCAACACCTTTACGGCCAAAGTACCCAGTGCCAGTGCATCCAGGCTATGTTTGAGCATCAGCTTTCTCATATACGTGGCTTGTTGCGGAAGCGCCTGAGAGATGATGGTGAATGTGGGGGTGGGCCTGAGCTGCATGGCCCTCACAGTGGTATGATGATGATGGGGTCTTGTTGTGCCGTGTGGGTACTTGCTGCTCTGATGCCCTTCTACCAGCTTTTGGGGTTTGTGTCAACTGCCTTTTCCGCCAGGGCCGGCCACTGTGTCAGGTCTTGGTTGTTTACGCTGTTGATCCTTTTCAATGTTTGCCGGATTGGAGAGACCTCTTCTCCAGGTCCGGTTATTCAGGCTTTGCAGCCGCCTTGACCACAGTGTCGCCCCCGTCAAAGCACTGTCTTCTCAACCCAAGCCAGTGCGATACACAAAGCGGTACAAAGTGGTGGTTTGGAACATGAATGGATTATTTTCCATGTCATAAATATATGGGATGTCATCCCAAGCCCATTGACGGACTCCATCATTTTTCAAGATGGTTATTGCACCAGCAACCAGGGATATTAGGCTTAGAAAGTGGAGGATTTCTATGTATTTCTTTGGTTCCTTGGGCATCCTTGGGATGTTATGTTAGTTATTCTGAGTTAGCACCGTTTTTGTTGGGCTACCCACCATTGACCCGCTATAACCGAATGGGTCGAGCCAGGAGATACCTTGTCCAACATCATTTTTTTCCACATGTTTTCGGTCTGGTCATGCAACAGGAACCTAAATTATCCTAAATTGGAGGTACCATTAATTTATAAGGCCTTTTTGTCAGGATCCTGAAATTCCCATGGATTTTTCCCCTGAAAATAGCAGGGCTTCGTTCCCCTGGACCGTACCCGCGTCTGCGACTGATCTACACGCCGTGTTCGATAGATTCCTTCGACGCAGCGCAGCGACGGCTGTTGCTACACCGCTCCCAGCCGCGCGAGATTTGGGGTGATAGGGCTTACAGCCCCAAAATAGAAAAGTTGGAAAGCTATAGGATTTCCATGAAATTACAATATCTCCAATATTTCTAAATACGAATATATATATATATATATATATTATATATATACTAATTAAACATCTTAAGCATATTTGTTTATACCATCCTTTTCAAAGCGATCCCAGCTTGCTGGGGATCATCATTTGGGATTTGACCGTGTTTTTTTTGATGGTTGCGCTCTCCTTTCGGAAACGTCCTGGGATGATGTCCCTGAAAAATCGGTTTTGGTACCCCGCGTTGCAAACTGGGCTTACCATGAAAACTCCACGATGAAGCCCTCGCGGTTAAGGATGTTTAAGATTTTGGTTTTAAAGAAAAGATGACTTTGACGTAGGTTTCGGTTTTGGAATGTTTCAGCTTCAGCAGGGCCTGCTTCGCCACACTGAAAGACCTGATTTGAGCATGTTTGGTATACTATAAGCATCTATAAGCAAACATGTTCTGGATCTGGGTAGGTCGATATTCACTTTTGGACGGAACATGTGCAAAATTCAGAATTTGGCGAAGCTGAGCCATGAAAGGAGATCGCAAGAATCAGTATAGGTGTTGACTCATCACAACCAAGCAGCACAATTTGTGGTTGATAATCGATCTAATTCCCTGAATTGGTGGAAGAGAATGTTTGTGGTGCCGAACTGTTTGTTGAGGTAAAAACAAAAAAATTTCAACCGTAACTGTGTCATATGATTGGGATAAATGAATATCAATACACACACACACATATATATACATACATATACAATATATATATATATACATAATATACACATGTTCCACGACATATGTGGACATAGTTATAGATCTATTCCATTGATCCGTGAAATTTGCCCACGTCGAAAAAGCGAATTCAGCCGTTGTATTTTTGGCAAGCAACAGATCCGGACCGTGGAGGTCCTAGTGCGGTTGGGACTGGTGAGTCACTCTTTTTGGATCTTTGGACATGATGTGCGCTTGCGAAAAAAATCGCGATGCAGATGGATTCCAAAAGGTCCAGAAGGTCCATACCCTCTGGTAATTTCACATAGCTATTGAAAATTGCCATTTATATTGGGTTTACCCATTGAAAATGGTGATTTTCCATAGTTATGTTAGTTTACCAGAGGGTAAATGTTGGGAAAACCATTGGAAAACCTGAAAATCTAATGAATCATGATGCGTTTTCCTGTTGCAACGATGGGAATAATTTGAGATATCCACCTCTGGACCAAGACCTGACATATATGTAATATGGGACTTAAAAAAATGGGGGCTCAAAACTTGAGGACCGAACAAAATATAAAAAACATCAACTTGACTTCAGGGAACTAACATGACCTAACCATGAAAAACGGGGGTGTCGAAGTTTCCCAGTCCTGGGATGGTTTCAACTTCGCTCGATTTGTTGGGGCATTTGATGATGGGTCCATGTCAAGTCAATCTGTGTAGGAAATAAAAAGGATCCAGCGAAAATAGGTATCTTTTTTTTTTTGCCATAATATGATGGTATACAGTAATGTCTTTATATGTCTTTTCTGCTGGTGAATCCCTCTTCTGGTGGGTCCATGCACATCCCCTTAATTAGGTAGATGCCAATATGTTTGCACAACATGTGCAACTTTGTTGTTGATGAAGTATTTAACCTTGATAGATAAGATATAACGTAAAACATCATAAAACCCATGGTTCTTTACGGCAAGGCCATAAATACATGTTGTTGAAGGACTATGTTCCAATTGGATTCATCGAGGGTGAATCCCAATCTTCCCAAATTTCCTTGCCCCGAGGGTGGAGCCTTTGGCTTTGGAAGCCAGCAACAGGTGCGGAAGCGAATCGTTTGCATTGGACATGACCCGAAAAAAGATTGTCCATTGAGCATCCGGACATGGATGACATGGATGACATGGATGACATGGATGACATGGATGACATGGATGACATGGGGCTCACTTGCCTGACTTTAGAATACTTTAGATATCTTTTAAGGGTTGATGTGTGTTGGTGTTGGGTTTATATGATGGACCCTGAAAATAATCAACTCTTGAGCGAAAACGAATCTTCCAACCTGACATTTTTATGGCAGTGCCTATGTGCGTTCCAGGTGGCTTCAGGGCCCCAGCTCTGTTTAGATGAGGCCTGGCAGCCTGGCTGCTTTCTTTGGTGACTTTGCTTTCCTCATATGGGCTGGGGCTTTCCATGGTCATGGGGGTACCCCCAAATGGATGCTTTATAATTAATGGAAAAACCTATGAAGAAATGAATGATAACTAGGGCTACCCCCATGACCATGGAAAGCTCCATATGTTCGTTTCTTCGGTTCCCTGATGTTCCCGTTTTGAGCTGAGCAGAATCTGGAACGCATTTGGAAGGCCACGAATCTAAATGGTCCAATTAAGCGAGGTGAATAAATGATCCAAATGATCCAAAGTGTTCAGGTTTCATAGAATGCAAAAAAGATACTGGTTGGTGGTTTCACATCGTTTTCGCCCACATCTTTCAACCATCATCTCAAACCTATTTGAGGATCCCAAAGGAATATGGCCGAGTTGAAACTACCAAGGAGATGAACCTTTCGCCTACCATATACACTGAATAGTTCACTTCAACTTTCGGATGAGATTGAAATCGGTAGGATTTAGCCAACTGGCCTTAAGACGTTTTGTCCCATTAGACTTGTGACAACACTGGTCTGGACCTATCTGAAACTACAGGGACGATTTTTCATCCAATGAATCCCGTTCGTCGGAAAGCAATCCTTCTGGGTCAGAGTTCACTTTGGAAGTGGCACACTGAAACGTAACACTCTTTTCTTGCTCACAGTTGAGGACTTTCCAGTTTTCTCCAGTCCCTCAGAATGGTGAGAACTGTCTAACTTCTGCGTGACGCCCAACAGCAAGCCACACATGGCTCTCAGATCAACCACTAAGAGATCACTCATGGATGACCATGAAATGACCAGCGTTGAAGTCCTTAGCCGTCTCCCAACGTAGAACCAATGGTTAATGATCATTAAAAAATCATAAAAATGCAGCCCGCCACTCTGGAACCACATCCTTTGTGTTTTTTTTCCCCGAGATCCTCATATTTCACTACAAAAAAATAGTATGTCTGATTTCTGCTAAATCTATGGTTTCCTGAAACTAAACATCTATGAGAATCATTGAGAATCTATCGTTTCCTACCGTCTTAGTGATCTTCATTAACTGCCATGCCCCCTGATGGCTACGAGCACTTGCTTGAAACGCAAGATGCGCGCCGTGTCGCGTGGATATTGGCCTTGGTACCGGAGAAGAACCCGGGTCCCGGGTCCTGTGTCATAGGAGGGATCTTACTCTGGTTGAACATGGAATACAGAACATGAACATGGGGGGATTAGAGGGGCTTTAAGATCTTTAAGTATCAAACATGCGAACTATCATCATGCAGAAATTCTGGTTGATTGTTTGATGACTACTTTTTCTGATTCGGGATAAACTTGATCACATCGCGACGTCAGTGGAATGATGGTGAGGACAACAAACATCATACCCCATTGGCCCTGTTTCTTTTATTTCTGGTTGGAGAACTGGTATAGCACATGATTACACTTTTAGAAAGATATTGTACAGTATGAAATGATGGAGAATGCAGTAAGATACACATTAGTACATTGTATATAATTATGTATAATGTATATATAATTATCTGTGTATATATATATATATTATATACATAATTATGTGTAATGGATGGGTCAAAACCCTGTATCCCTGGTGAACATCAAAATAGCAATGGATGTCCATCCCCTGTGAATTTGTATCTATAGGTACTGATCCATAGCCCCGCAAAGAGTTGGCATTGGCCAACGTTAGGAAAGCCCTGAGAGATAAGTCTGGGTCACTGTTAGTTGGTGAAGGCTATGTCCAAAAATATATATATATATATTATGATTTTTATATGTCAAGTATATGCACAATTGCACAATCGTCAACCTTTTGGGCCAGATTTTGACCTTGGGGATTTAAATAGCAACACATGGGGACCTCTTTTGGGACCTTGTGGATATCATCAATTTCTGGACGGGTTTTGGTATTGGGCTTACCACATTGCTGGGTAAACTGCGGTTGGTGAATAGCTGTTTGTTAAAAAATCACCATTTTGTTCGCTCTAATCAGCAATGATAATCAACTGAATCATTATAGTGGTTCGTCGCCACCCGTCATTTTGTACAATGGAATATCCTACGAAAAGCATAACAGAACGTGGAAATTTGAATGGCAAGTAGTCGGCAAGTGTTTACTGGAGGGTAACCCTTCAGAACCCACTGATACTTGATTGACTATACTTGTTCTATTTTGTTGTGTTGTTTGTGTAATCTTCTTACCAACCTGTTGGCTCGCCCCATGACCAGTTTCAACTGATCAAGAAACATAAAATGAAGCACTGCGGATTTTGGTGAGCTGCAGCATTGCAGTCCTTGTTTTGCACCCCTTGAAAGTACAAATTTTCTGTGAGGAGCCCTGATTACTTGACTCTTCACAGTCATGTTCTTGACTTCTCGAAGTTTGAGATATGAAATCAGCCAGATATATGGCATGGCGGCCCAGTCACCAGATTGGATGATCCCTCAATCACCAGTCACATGTTTTTGGAGGTCTCTGGGTGACCATCAACGTCGTGATGCTCATATGGTCCAGCTTTATGTTGGTCCCTTGGCTTGTCGGAGCCATTTGTCAGAGCAGTGACTGTGGTTTTTTACCGGAGATTGATGATTATAGAGGGTCATACTACCCTTGATATATTGGGGATCAACAAAAACCTATGATGGGAATGCGGAATGCTGTTCTTCCCCAGCCAGGATTTTCATTGGAATGCCATTTCGGGTTTTCAACACTGCTCATTTACCCCCCCTGGTGTCATCAACATGGCAATGGACAATTCACGCATGATTTTCCCAGCGAACTGAACCTCCATTTAGTTCTGGAGATTTCCCAGCCACCTTTGACACCGGACCCCGGCATGAGGTGACCATATTCTTGGACGCCAAGCGCGAGTTTCGAGAACAATTCTACTTATTCTGGAGCTTTGCCACCACGGCCGTATGGGTTGCGGAAGTGATCTTGGAGGTCCAGCCCTGCGAAGCGCGGGATTTCGATGGGTCACATTTTCGGGACCGCCGACACTGAAAACTCTGCCAAAGTATAGGGGTCAAGACCCACGAACAGAGGTCACATAACTTTGTAATGCTTTAAGTACATGTCATACATGTCTTGGTTTCCATCGAAACCTCCAACTTGGTGCAGAGATTTTTGAGAGATCCAGGTGTGGTACCACAAATCCGCATCTTCATGCAGAGCCTCGGCGATGTACCTCCCCATTGTGTTCATGAAAATCCTGATTTGTTGGTCGGTTGAAGTCCCCAGGAGCTATGGTGAGGTTTGTTGATGTTTGTGATGCTTGAGCAATGTTCATGGCTGGGGTTATGTTGGACGTAAAAAGTGCCATCCTACTTTTCAACAAAAAATGTGTATGATTAGATGGGATGAAAATATATAAATATTTCAAATCTCTGTTCAATATGTATCACTGTTCACACCGTCAAAACTCGGGTCAAGATTTGCGCCCAGTTTCCGGGGCTTCGTCGTCAATCCATGTTGATAGCGATTTTTGCTATACCGGCTGAAGCCATTGTGGAAATGGATTCCCACATTAGTCCTATAATATATGTGAAAGATTGTGAAAGTATGAAAGTAGATTATTCATATGGAGATATCCCCATGGATGTTTGGACCCACACAGAGTAGGTGGGACCGAGGCACAAATGTATAGCTCATCTCCTGTTCTATATATTGTTTTGGGCCTCGGATGTGTATTCTTTTTACGGGGTGATGGGTACTGCGAAGTGGCCTTGAGTGGTTCAACTTCGGGATGCTTCGGGGGTGCGGCTTTTAGGCAGCTTTTATGGGTGTAAGCATGGAATAACCAACATAAGTTGAGATAAGTAACGCCTATCACTATGGTTGTATGACCACTCACTCGAACTGCACCCAGTGATCATTATGAGGACTTGACGACGATCTACGAAGGATAGCTGTGAAGAACTGACAGTATTGCATTGGTATTGTCCGGTAGGGGATGCACATTGTGAATGGTGCATATGGATAACTACTGTAGACTGTAGACCTCCATGTATTGGACAAAAATTGCATAAAAATCAAAAAATCGGAAACTGATCTGAACTTTGAACACTTGGAAAATGGTGGTTAAATCATCTGTAAACTACTGAGTCTACGGGTAGATATCCATCTTCAGATCGTCCCAGCTGTACATCGGATCCTGCAAACAGCAGTTTGTTAGCACCTCTATTTGGTAACCAACATTACCATCTGGTTATTTAACATAGCCATGGAAAATCCCCAAAACAAATGGAGGTTTTAATGGGAAAATCATCTATAAATGGGCCATGTTCCATGGCTATGTTAAATAACAAGAGGGTAGGTAACCAACATTGAATCACATTACATATGTAACATTGTAACAATAAGTTATGTATTACTAGCTACAATATGTTACTACCTCTGTTGGTTACAATATGTTACAATGGTTGCCATGTTGAAAGTATGTTGCAATATATTACATGAATGTGGGTTTGTCTGAAAATAGGGTATATTCCCAATTATGGCCATTTAATAGGGATAATGATCATTAACCATTGGGTTTAGGGGTACACTATTTTCAGACACACCCATGTGCAATCCAAATGTTTGAGTTGCTATCTAGGACGGTCGGCCAGGTTGCTAAATAGCTGAACTGCAAAGACCTGGCTGGATATTTAAGTGAGGATGATCACACTTACATATACCCTCTGGTAATTTAACAGTTTGCTATTGAAAATTGCTATTTATAGTGGATTTTCCCATTAAAAATTGTGTTTCTCTATAGTTATGTTAGTTTACCAGAGGGTACATATTGTTGTATATATAAATACATACTGTTTATATATATATCATATATCAATTTATCAATTTGTCCACAGCTTTAGGGAATTGATATATCCCCCTTCTACATCCATCCACCACTTACGATTCACTGCCCCACTTTAGGACAGATCTTTGAGCTATTGGTGGCTGCATACTTGACCTATGCTTCAGCGGTGACGCTCTGGAAGAAGTGGACCCATCCAGGCGAAACTTTTACAACTTTGTTACGCAGTCATAGGTAGGATTGGTAGGGTTACTAAATATATGTATATACAAACTATATATATATATTGTACATTTGATGTATTTGCATTCTGGCAATATGTGTATATATATGTATATTTATATTCACATGTACTTTTATATGTTGTATTATATATATCAGATATTTCTGTATTGGGACGCACAACTTCAGAGAAAAAAGCAGAGGGAAACAAAACATTGGTGAACACTCAATCTCAAGGGACTCAAGGGCATATTGACAACGGTGTGCCAATAGAGTTTGTGATTAGAAGTCATTGGCATGGTAGTGGTGCCCATCGCGAACACATGGGGATTTGTTGTTCTTCAAAATGAAAGTCCTTGGATGCCCTGTGCCATGGTGAATACATTGAAATTATGTTGATGCCTCAGTGTGCCCAATGTTTCCTTCATTTTTTGACGTTCCCTTAAAGCGGGTGTGCCATGGGGCTTTTTGTATTTTGTTTTTGTTTGCCCAATTGATGTGACTTTCCTCCAACTCGCTGTGCCACGGGTTGATGTGACTTTTGCCCAACTGATGTGATTTTTAAACCCTCTGCTCCTAGGTACGATTAGCTATGTTTCGATTGCATTGTTGGGTACTGTACCTCCGACTGATCAGTGGTTTCACGTATTTCGGTTGTTCGCCATACCAACCATGGTGATTTTGGAATGCCCTTTGGGGGTGGCCCCACAGGCTGATACATTTCTTTTGGATCATCCGGGCAGGTGTTGTACCAGAGTCTCTAGCACCAAATGGTGCATTTCAGCAAAAACATCTGGTATCAACCTTCAAAAGCGCTGCCCAAACATGGGGGATGGAACATTGAGATGCCAAATACCACGTCGCCAAGGGAATCCTCAGAAAAATGGAAGACGAAAAAGGCTTGGTGTGAGGTTTGTGAATTAATGTGGTAAACCGTTTATACAATAAACCTACCATGTGGGAATGGTTTATACAACCCATTCATGGATATTTCTGGTGATTTTGGGGATGGTTCATTATTGGGTTTACCACATTTTAAATGAACAAGTTCCCAATGTAATTAAACCACATTCCCTGGGATATTTATTGTAATTTGCCCAAGTTCCCAATGTTTGTCAAAATGCCGCAGGCAAAGACGTTGATGAAGAATTGACGGATGCGATCTTCAGCTGCAACCGATGGGGCCCTGGGGTCCGGGCCTCCACCCATGATTTCGTGTTGTTTGTTCTCTCAATAGCCAATGATCCAATCATTTTGTATAGGTTATATACATATAATGTATTATAATGTCATATATAGAATGTATATAATATGATTATGTATGATTATATAAAATTATTTTTATTTATGTATAGTTATATTTAATTATATATAGTTATATATAATTTCATATATATATATATATCCCACTTGTCATATTGTAGAAGATTTTAGGTGATAGATCCGTTCGTTTGTTCCCGATTCTAAATCCCCATGATCTGGTGACCTCACATCGGTTCCCTTGTGATAATCATGTGCTCCGTGTACTGTATGTTTATCTACATAACTGGGTCATTTTCTATGGCTGCACGTGTTGATACATGTTCCAGCAACAGCATTTTTCAGGGTTAGTTTTTTTCCGAGAAAAACAGTTGATTTTTCCTGGGAGAAAAATCTGTATCTCCACCAAACAACGATCCCAAATGTTTGAACCATATATATATATACCCAATGTTTTTTCTTGAGAAAAAAAAATAGTAATTCATTGGATTGGTTCAAGGGAAAATCTACAGGAACCTCTATATTTTGCTGGGAAAACCCCTGGGTATCCTGTAGGTTGTCCTTTTAACCAATCCATTGATCCATCGATCGTCCCAGGATGATCTCCACCGTCGCCTATTTCTACGCATCTGAAGAGACGCTACGGCTCTTGTGGTACGCGATGACCGCGGACTGAGGACCAGGAGGGTGACCCACTTGATGGACCATGGATTTTTCAACCCATTTCTTGGCTAAGCATCCAAAAAACGACTTGTAGTCAACATGTTTTTTAGTGCAAGTTTGGATTATGTGCTTTGGATGGATTTTGACACATATCCGAATGATGCCTGAGAAATGGCGATTTAAAGAGGACCTGACAGCTGTTGCAGCTTAGAACTCAGCTCAAATGTTTCAGTTTTCCATACACATCCCTAAAATGGGATAGTGATCCCAATTATTTTCACATTGATGGCGTGGCTCACAACCACCAGACCACCAAAATAAAAGGTGAAGATCCTGTACATAGTGCTCCAACCATGTTATCGCTCGCCCCTGTGGCCAAAAAGTCGGCTGCTGGGAGCTTGGGGCGGTACTATATCATGAGTCCTGGATTTTTGGGGCTGTGGATTCTTATCTTTCTGGTAGATGGGCTTGTAAATAGGATGTCTTCCACCTACACCAATTCAATTTGCCCAGAAACCCCCAGCGGCTTTGGGATTGCCGTTCATCCTTACATCAAGGACAATCAGCAACTGTTTCTTTCCGAATCTCGACATGTTTGGTTCTTGCACTGCCAAATTGGTGGTTGGTGGTTCTAAGTTTGAAACAAGTGTCATCAACTATAATAACTATATCCGTTCGATCCTCATCAAGGACCACAATTGTTGCAGTTTTGAAGTTTCAAACATTTTGGAACTATCTCGCATCCATCATCAAGTACTAGCCTGAAGCCCGTGCTGAATTCTCCTATCTCGTGCTGCAGTCCGGCAACATCGTGCTGAACCAATCCAGCTTGTCCCGGAATGTGGTCACCGAAACACCACTGGAAGAGGTCAGCTCTTGGGGGGCGATGACAGTTTTTTTGTTCCACTGGTTTTTGTTGAAATCATGCCACAAAGTAATTCATTTTGGGTTGGTGACATTTGGTGGCATATTGTCATTTTAATTGTCATTTCTCCATCTTCAATCCACATTTCGCAGGTCGGGTCAGGTAAGCTCCTGAGCTAGTTCTCCTGCGACTTATCTCCGCCAAAGCACGCCAGTCATGGATACCAGCGGCTTTGGGTCAAGAGTAATGTCCACTGTACAGACAGTACAGATCATAGTTTTTTTTGATTGTCCAACTGATGCTGGTTGGATCTCGGTGTGAAGGACCTGTAGCTATATTCGGCTGCCACATTTTTTTTGGCCCATCGTATTTTACTCAATAATTTTGTCATATGATGGAGATAAATCTCCAATTCTCAGGTATCAGGTAACAAACCCATATGATATGTCCATTTCATACAGCTTCCATGGTCATGCCCTGGATTGTTAGGGCATGGACAGCAACGTCCAAGAAGCTGTGAGCCGCAGCCCCGGTGCCATGAAGAAGGTTCAATCGAAGGATGGGATATAGCTGCTAGAACATATATGGGAATACTCGTATCTGAAAATCGAGCATATCCCCCAAAATGACTGTTGATTAATTGACACATGATAATAAAACATCAATATGTGGGGTACCTAACTTTGAGACCAACCCAGATCCTCCATTGCTTTTGTGGGGTCAGTGCTGATATTCCATCTACTCCAGGATAGGTTGATCTTTTATTTACTACACACAGAAATTACATAAATGATACTAAATGATCATAGACAGGGTTACAAGTACCTGTGTAAGCCTTCCTGAAGATTCCTTGCTGCCTAGAAATCTGCTCGGCTTTCCAAAGTTAAAATGGTCCAAGTCCATCAGTCCAGGGTCAGCCTTGAACTTCGGTCGACAGCCTTTCATGGGGATCATTCACGGTTGATGAGCCCACAGGAAACCAGTAATAAACCCAGTAGTGGCTCACCCTTATGGCCGGTGGGTCGCTTGGAAAATGGATCTCCTTTGAAAAATGATAGACTATAACAGACTATAATCGACTATAATGGACTATAAAGGACTATGGCTATTGCCCACTGTTGTTTTTGGGGGTTGTAAGGTTTTAACCTACTGCCATTTGACCTTTTACAAGCTTTTTAGAAGTATTTTAGGTGTTTCAAGAGTTTCTGGGGCGCTGTATTGTGAGGTCAGTACTCTGGGGCATATAAAAAGACGTGTGGCACCTCAGTGGCTGGCAAAATTATCGATGGATGTGGCTGAGGGGTACCTAAAAATCCTAGGCATTTGGGGTTGTGAAAACCATATTTTTACGTTTTAAACTGGCCATTTTGAGGTATCCCTGACTAGAATCAGTTATGATTATAGTGAAAAAGTACTCAGCATTTAAAACAAGAAACTGATAGTAGCTGATTGTGAGTGCTATGTTCATCAACAACCAGCTGATTGTGATGGTTAATTTCATCAACAACATCCACAGTCCTACAATCATCCCTTGATGCGGCTCTTACTGTGATGCTTCGCTGATCTGGTTATGACCAAGATACCTTCACAGGCCTTGGTTCGCACAGGGCTTATGGTTACCAAACTAATGGAGAATGTTTGCCTATGCGACTGGCTTGGGGGCACAGCGGGATAGATATAGTTTTGGCCAACCTTGTGTACGTGGATGGCTAGTCTTCAAACAGGATCCCCAAACCCATGCGTTCAATGCACAAATTTGGGGTACGCTAATACGGCTAACCTCGAGTTTAAGAAATCAAATCATGATCAAACTTCACAACCACATGTTTTGGGGCTGGCTTCGCCGCAGGCCTCGTTGTGTATGGACCCAAAGCGAGACGGACCTGTTCTACGAGGCCCGGCATGGGCTGAGCCAACTGTGGGAATATGGAGATTGGGGGTTCTCCAAAAATTATGTATAACGGTACAGCGGTACAGCTGCAAAATTGCAACTTGACCGGGAAACATGACTTTCAGAACCCTTGGATTTGGTACAATATTTTCAGACCAACGCAATGGATCTGATGTGCCGGTTGGAGTGCGTCAAGTGGTACCCCCATAGATCGCTAAGTTTCTTTTAAGGGTGAACGTATCTCCAGATGGATGACGATTGACCAACGCGGGTGCATCACACTGTATAACATATAGATGGTACCCTCTGGTAAACTAACAGTTTGCTATTGAAAATGGCCATAGAAATAGTGGATTTACCCATTACAAATGGTGATTTTCCATAGTTATGTGGCACTTTACCAGATGGTACCATCTTGATTGAACATGCTGGGATGTTCTCTTACCCGATTCAGGCTGCTTAGTTGTGACGTAATTAATAACCGATATGCTGACTCGTATGTCCCAATGTCAACGAATTCTTCTCCAGTGAGCACACATGAGAGTCGGCAAATCGGCAAATTGTCCAAAGTGTGCTTGGCAAAGCCAGTTTTTGGTTAAACATGTTAAACGCCAAAGTTTGTCTGGTCAAAACATGTGAAAAATCCCCATGTTTGCTGCTTAAGTCGGCTAAGTTTGCCAATTGATTCCATATGTTTGGCACTTTAATCCCAGCTTCTGTTGATGGAATTTCGAATGTCAGGCATTATCCCTCTATGGCAGTGATCTATTCCTGGTTTGGTGCCCTGGGGGTTAGAGAATGGCGACATGGGTCGGCAAGGCTGGATGGCTGGATCTGGGAGAACATGAATCTCCAGCAATGAAAGATTTGCAAATTTTCATCATGTTAAGAAAATCATCTGGAAATTGGTGGTTTCCGTCTCCGTTTCAGTGGATCTGAATTAGTGGATCAGATTGCTAGAGGGTAAGTCTTTCAAACAAGTACTGATACAAATGAAACAACTGATTTCAATCATCAATCAAATTGGTTTGGGGTTGAACATGAATGCAGAAGTATTGATATGACTTGAGAGTTAGCTGCATTTGTTTTTTCAAACTCAACTGCAGAAACATCTGGAACTTTCGGATACAGGAATAGTGGTTTCATGGTAGGCCTTGGTATTGCCAATCTGACATTATGTTTTCGCCAAATTGGTGAAAATTTGATATTTTCAATCATTCAATGATGGTACGCTGGTGTCCCATTGGGTGCGCACCACTCCAAGGAAGGTCACTTGGAGCTGCTGTTTCTGCCATGTGAGTTGAAAGTCTTAGCATCGGTAGTTGATACATGGTCGTGGTATATGATGGGCATTATGGGGGTATAGAACCTTGTTTAATGATGTTTAATGTATATTGGATTACAAACTAATCCAATAGGGAAACGCGGAGAACCCAAGCCCTCAACCATCCAGTGCATTTGGGTATAACAAAGGGTAGACTGGGCACTGGGCACTGTATCCCCCAAAATATCCCAATACATCCCCCCGAATCAATCCATCCCGAATCATTCCTGCTGGTTCATGATTAATTAGTCTAGATTATGTGGATCTTACTATCTGAAATTTCATTGCGATGGGGTGATTACTATCTTCCATGATCATCCAATTCCGGATCAGAAAGAAGCTTGCTTTCTTGGAGCAGTCTCATGTGGTTTCACAGTTGTGGTTTCACAGTGGTAACCCTGCGCAATCCGAAGCCTGCGCCCCCCTGCGCTGGCTGGTTAAGCCATTCATCTGGGCCCATGATGTTGTCAGGTCCAGACCTTCTTTCGCAACAAGAGCGCAGCAGGGGAGCCCGGCCCGGGGGATGGACAATCGGTGATTCTGTGAGTCTGATGGCATAGCTTAGCGAACAGATTTAGCCTCTGGTAAAGTGTCACATAACTATGGGAAATCACCATTTGTAATGGGTAAATCAACTATTTCTATGAGCCATTTTCAATAGCAAACTGTTAAATTACCAGAGGGTGTGATGATTTATGATGTTTTAAGGATTAGATGTTAAACAGCACAGCATTTTGGGAATACCTGTACTATGTAATCCAAAATACATATTGGATAATGGAGTATCGATAATGATTCAATATTGGTGTCCAGATAGTGTTTGTATACCCTCAAAATGGTAGTGTTTAGAGGGAAGAAACATGGTGATTACACCATATTAGGAATTTTGATGGATTGATTATGAACATTTGCAACGTAGGAAGCCTACCCAAGAAGCGCTGCCTTCAGGGGCAGATCAAGACAAAGTACAACAAGGACGAGAATGGGTGGTCAATGTGGAGCCAATCTTATTTGTTACGCCCGTGTATTGTATGTGTATCTAAGGAATTTGTTACCATTCTGGGATGGCCATATTCCGCGTACCATCTTCCGACCACGGCACATGTTTTTGGTGTCCGGGAAAGTCTGCGACTAAGGATATGTTCATCTGCGACAAAGCAGATACCCATTAAGTTGTGTTCGGTAGTATATGGGATGTCATCCTTCCCATTGACTTTCATCTTTTTCAAGATGGTTATTGCACAAACCAAGCAGTTAATGTGAACCAATACTTGAACTCTAATAAGATCTGATACCCATGCGACCCATTTTGGGACATTGGTTGGGACATTGGGTCCCCCATTTGACCAAAAATCGATCACTCGGGATGCTTGGCTCCGGAGGAAATGAAGAAGAACCCAAAGTTGGTTGAAGAAGTCTGGGCAACAGCTTGGGTCGGGCTGGAGGGTCAGGCTGGAGGACAAAACTGTACTGAGCAGTGATCAGAGCCTCTGGTTGATGAGTTATTTGATGGTGAACCATTAGAGGGTTTTGAAAAAATGTAACGATAGAATAGTACAGTACATAGAGCTATTATTGATAGTTTCTCAACCACTGAAGCATGACCTTAAGAATAGTTCAGATGCAGCTTGTTGTTCCGGCCTTGAAACATATTTTGTTCCCGGTTTCGAGTTCATACGTTTGATTAGCATCAACTTTGCAGGATTATGGGAATTATTTCCGAAAAGTAGACCCCTGATCATGTACCTACCTGTTCTTCGATTTTCTTGGAATTTGGAATAACTTAAGTGATGAAGATCCCGTTAGCATATATTCAATAACTGGAGTAAGTCTCCCAAGAATAGTATAATAAATTTGGTAAACTTAAGCAAACCTTCCGCAATTCTACGCATGTTTATATTAAGTGACTTCGGAAAAGACTCCCAAGAATATCCAAACAAAGTATAGATGATATATAAGTCTAGTTCAAATATGTATAATTATTGAATATATATATATACACTTACCACGTTCCAGCTTGTTCACAACGTGGTTCGCAGACCATGCTGGGGACTTTAGACATTGCACAACGCCGAGAAATGTTGAGCTTTCCGAAGATTTCACAACATGGGAACTGACCCTAAGACAACGGTGGCATGACTTCCTACGTGATGACTCTCCACTCGAGTACTACATTGTGCAGCCAAATCCACCACGTCAACAGCCCAACACTGCTGGACATATCATTTTGGTCTATCACGAACATGAGGTAATGGTCACGAGTTTGGTCACATTGATCGATCACACGCTTCGTGAGAACCATGGTAGATTCCAGCAGATGGCCGTCACTACCCATGAACAGATCCACCTTGCGGATTTGCTCGAGGTTGTTGGCTATGCGCAGATATGCCTTCCACCTGACTCTCCACGAGTTTGTCGAGCTTGGTACATGGATGAGAGATTCAGGGATGGCAGACCTCTCATGGGACGTAGCGGCTATGGAATCAACATCAATGTCCAACGCCGAGTGTACCCAGGTGATGCTGCAGCATTCCTACAAAGACCACCAAGACATCAGGATGAGGGATTTATCCGAGAGCGCCAAACACAGGGGCAGGTGGCTCACACCCCTGGGCCTCGGCTCCCTCTGCATTCTCGACAGGTCCCTCCTAAGCAGTTGGCTTTGGCGGAACTCTTACCCATGCCTGAGCTCATGACCGAGCCTACCACAGATCTTGAGCAGGAAATTGTGCGGGACTCTGCGGTCAAATTGAGGTCTGGCAGTCAAGATCTTATTGTACCTTCCTTTTTGGAAGTACCATGTGCACATGATGAAAGCTGGATCTCTCACATCCTACTTGAATGGGGCATCAATTGTAATGCATATCGTTTTGGTGGCCATGATGAATATCTTTGCCTGCCATCTGATTGGTCTACCACGGAGCAGCATGTCATCTATGGCACACAAGAAGGGATTGAGGATGGTGCAGCCATTTTGCACACATGGAATGCAGCTGATGGACCGCTCAATGCTCTTGGCCACATGAAAGTCCTCTACAGGATGGGCTACATCAAGACAGCCATCATTGAAGCAGTTGACCTTCGACCTGGACTCAGCCGTGTGGTTTTTGCCCATTTACAGCCGAAGCTAGCTGCTCCTGCAATTGCGCAGAAGTCACCATCAGAATGGCCTCTACCACAACCGCTAGGAAGAGATGACTTTCCTCCATTTGACCCTGCGTCATGGCATGCAGAATGCAGTGATTGCTGCCTTGCGTTCGGCATCAGCCTTGAAGAGCTTCAAGAAGTCTTTGTCCCTGATAGCTTTCCTTTGTGCACTACTCTGGATGGTCTTGACTTACCTCCCACAACGAAGCAATTTGTCGAAGATCTGCAACCGAATCCAGATCTTCCTATGTCTCATTTTGACCGGATTGTGGTGTATGCCGACGGCTCATCTTTGAGCGCATTGAGGCACCAACCACCTCTTCTCCTGGCTGAAAAGGGACAAGGTGACACGTGGGCGTTCATTGTGATTGGGGAGGTTCAAGCTCCAGATGGCACTTTCCAGCGGTACCTCATCGGCTGGCAGGCTCAACCAGTTCTTTATGATGAGCAAACCAGAGCGTTCATTGGGGCTACCCATGCAGGCTCAGATGCCGCAGAAAGGGAAGCGTTATTCTGGAGCATGATGTGGAGGATCTCCATCAATGACAGTGTGTCCACGACGTTCTGCACTGACTCACAGCTGACTCAAGCACAGGCGAGTGGAGTTGTTGGTTCGCATCAATCCGCTGAGAGCTTCCAATTGCTAAGAGGCGCAGCACAAACATTAGCTGCCATCTTGCCACATGACAAGCTGCGCATTCAACATGTCAAAGGCCATTCCAATGACCCCCTGAATGACTTCGTTGATTTTGCTGCAAAAGCTGAACGAGAAAAGAGCTTTTATTTGCCTCGCCCAAAGTTCTCGCTGTGCAAGCTTCGCAAGTTTATACCCTACATGTGGATGCTTTTTCATAAACAAGGGAAGGTCCCCTCGAGGGCGTCGCGCGTTTTTCAACGCACAACGCCTTTAAAACCTGCATTTCGTGAAGTTTTTTAAAATGCATCTTCCAAGAGGGGTCTCCGAAGTAACTTTTTTTTTACCTCACCGAAGCGATTGATGATGATGATAATGATGATGATCATGTTGATGATCATGTTGATAATCATGTTGTTGTTGATGATGATGATGATGATGATGATGATGATGATGTTGATAATAATGATGATCATGTTGATCATGATGATGAGAATGATGATGTTGATAATGATGATGGGCATGTTGATCATGATGATGATAATGATGATGTTGACGATGATGATCATGTTGATGATGATGTTAACGATGATGATTATGTTGATAATGATGATGATGTTGGAGATGATGATGATATGAATTGCAAATAAGAAATGCGTGTAAGGAAGTAGTTGCAAGTACGCTGGTTAACGTGAACGTTGTAATCCCCCCAAACCCAACCCCATGCCCACACGCCACCGGACACCAACGTCAACATATCAAAACCAAAACATCCAACGCGTGTCAAACCGTCACTTGCAGAAGTGAAAAGCGTGTCAAGAACGCAGATGCAAGAACGTTAATAAACAAGAACGTTATCATCCCCCCCCCCAACACCCCCCCAACCCCCCCCCCACCCCACCCCCCAAGCAAACCCTGGCATGCCGACACGCAACTATCACAGGAAGCACGTCACAAAAAACACAGTAAAAAACAGCAGAAAATGCAACGAAGCAGAAGAAAACACTGTAAAACGTGGCATGAAATGGATGCTTCGAAAATAACGCAAACATGAAAAAACGACAACACTCCGCGACGCCCTCGAGGGGACCTTACCATAAACAAGCAGGGCTTCCTCGGCTTTGTCGGAATGGCTTTCATGCGCCGCCTCCGAAGCTGCCTGAGATTGACCAGTCGCGTCATGAAGCCAGAGATGCTCCACCACAATGGCGACAGTTCACGATCTGCCCGAGTTTTGCTACGGCCAATGTTCAGTCGCTCTATAGAGGCGACAATGGACATGCAGGAAAAGTCCAATACCTGCGTTCGCAATTTGTTCAGCATCGACTGAATTTTTTGGGCATTCAAGAGGCAAGAACAGATGCGTGTTGCTCTTGTGTTGATGACGTCCTGCGATTGGCCTCTGGTGCCGACCGTGGACATCATGGAACAGAACTCTGGGTGAACTTGAAATGTCCGATTGGATTCTTGGACAAAGTGCCGCAGTATTTGACACGACACGATTTCGGCGTTGTGCACGCCAAACCACGTTGGCTCATTGTCCGTGTCCAGCACGCATTATTGAAGGGCCTGTTAGTTGTGGCACATGCACCGCAAAGCGGATGTCCCCGAGTTGACCGGGAAGAGTGGTGGACTTCGTTTTCTCAGACTCTCAAGCAATGTAAGCTCACAGCTGATGAAAGTGTTTTCTGCATGATTGATGCCAATGCGGCTACAGGTCCTCGTGCTTTTCCGCATATTGGAGATTATGATGATGGAGTGACTGCCAGTACGAATCTGTTGAGAGATTTCCTTCATTTTCAGGATCTCTGTCTGCCAGCTTCACATTCGATGCATTCTGGATCCAGAACCACATGGTTTTCCCCAGATGGACAGCATGAGTGCCGCATTGATTATGTGGTTGTACCGTGCAATTTGCTTCCTTACTGCACCATGTCGTGTGTGTTGCAAGACTTTGATTTGGGCACAGCTCATCTTGACCATTTGATGTCAGCACTACAGCTTTCTTGGCAGACATGGCAACAAGTTTCAGACCGTGGGGGCCCATCGGCAAAACCTCGCTACGATCGTCAATCTCTGCAGCGTGGTAGTTTGAAATCAGTGCTCTGTCAACAGGCTGTCAACGAGTGGATGGATGACATTGATACACACGTGGCTGACTATACCCAGAACCTCTTGTCAGCTCTTGTCTCTGTGCATCCCCCCAAAAAGGCTCGCAGCAAAAAGCCATACATTGACTCAACGATTTGGTCCTTGCGGCAGGACAAGTTGCATCTGAGCAAGTCTTTGCGTGGATTGCATCGAAGGTTCAAACTGGAGTCACTCTTCCGCAGCTGGAGATTGTGGCGCGGCCAGATGTCTCAACAGGACTATGTATCTGCTCACAACTATGAGACCACCCTTCGATGCATTGAAGTCAAATTGATTGCCAATCACTTCATGGTGACGCGCTACATGAGAACACTCCTCAAGCGCAGCAAGCATGTCCTCCTTGCCGAGAAATTGAAGCAACTGCCACCCACTACAGCGGCTTCTACGGTCTTGAAGGAGGTACATGGTATTGTGGGACCCACGAATCCAAAGAAGATCAAGCGTCGATCTCTGCCACTTGTGAGAAAGGAGGATGGACATGTTTGTGCTGATCCACAGGAGATGGTTGACCGTTGGGTGGAGTTTTTCGCTGCCATGGAAGGCGGAACCAGGATGTCTCATGATGATCATCGACATCAATGGAGGCGGAACCTTCAGCATTTTTGTCAAGAAGACTTTCATTTATGTCTCCAAGATTTGCCGACCCTATGTGATCTTGAACGTGCTTTTGCGAGAGTTCGTACGGGCAAAGCAATTGGACACGATCAAGTTCCCCCGGAAGCCTGTGCCTACAATGCTGCTGAGCTTGCTCGACTCTCATACTCGCAATTGCTCAAGTTAGCCCTCCATGGGCAAGAGGCGGCCATGCACAAAGGCGGCCAGCTTGTCCAGGCACATAAAGGCAAGGGTCCGATTGATCTTTGCGAATCTTACCGGAGCCTTTTGATTTCTTCACACCAGGGCAAAGTGCTGCACAGGTCCCTCAGGCAGCACCAGACAGACTTGTACGAAACATTCATGCAAAATCAACAGATCGGAGGTCGAAGAGGGGTACCTGTTACCCTTGGTTTACACCACTTGCGCTCCTTCATGAGGCATCAACAACGATGTGGACGCTCGTGTGGTATCCTTTACCTTGATCTCAAAGAAGCATTCTATCGAATCTTGCGTCCACTCACCTTGGACAATCCATGGACTGACGCAGAGATTGCCTGTCTCGCTCAGCGACTCCGACTACCTGAAGGCACTCTTGCGGATTTGTATGAGCATTTGAAGATGCCCAATGCTGTTGCCGTTGCTGGTCTCCCACATCATGTTCGCAATTATTTGACTGCTCTGCACAGTGACACATGGTTCTATGTTGAAGGTCAAGACGATATTTGCAGAACATCAGTTGGTAGCAGGCCAGGGGACTGCTTTGCTGATACAATATTTGGCTATCTTTGGGCCAAAGTCTTGCGTCAGATCGAGGGAGAGCTATGTCAGTATCAGATCTTGGATGACATCCATGCTGTTGATGGCTGCGCTCTCTTTGGCCACAACCGTCCCATTGAGGCTGACTCCAGAGCCTACCTCGGGCCATGCTGGATGGATGATCTTGCAATTTGCCTTTCAGGGTCCACTGCGGATGAGCTTGTACAAAGACTTGGCATCATGACGTCCACCTTGATGGACACTTGTCTTGGACATGCAATGACACCGAATACGGATGTTGGCAAGACCGAAATCATGCTCACACTTCGAGGCCCTAGATCTCGGTATTGGCAGAAGCAATTTCATGGCCCGAACAGCTCCAAGCTTTTCACTGCCATCGGGGAATATCAATGTTTCTCTGTGCGGGTTACTGGAAGATACAAGCACCTTGGTGGTATTGTTCATCATTCTGGAAACCTGAAGTTTGAAGCCAAACAACGACTTGCAGCAGCGCATCAGACGTTTACACGCCACCGGCGAGTGCTTTTCTGCAACAAACACATCGATCACAAAGTTCGTGGACAGATCTTTGATTCTCTTGTCATGAGTGGTTTGAACTATGGCAGTGAGACTTGGGTTCTCCCCGACAACCAGAGCAAGACTGCTGTACATGCAGGTATGATTCGACTGTACCGGCGATTGCTCAATGTTGCGCACGACCAACACCTCTCTGATGAAGAGATTCTGACTCGCTGTATGACTCCAAGCCCTACAGAAGTGCTGAGACGGGCCAGACTCCGATATTTGGGAACCCTATATCACGGAGCTAGCCCGATGGATTGGGGCATCATCAATTGCGACATGACATGGTTGAATCTCGTTGAAGATGATTGTGTGTGGCTCTGGACGCAGCTTCATCATTGCAGTGGTCTTCGAGATCCGCGACATCATTTCGGTGCTTGGGAGTATATCTTGCGATACCACCCCAGGTATTGGAAGCGGTTGGTGAACCGAGCCATTGCACATGCGATTCAGCAGAGACGTAATCGTCAGCTTGTGGGCGCTATCCACCGTGATCTCTTTGAGAATTTGCAGAGACATGGAAGATTTGGTGCGGATGCTCCTTTCTATGCTGTTCAATTTGATGATCAGATGAAGTTTGGCTGCATGCTCTGCAAAAAGCGATGTGCCAGTCGTGGAGGAGAAGGGGCGCACTTTTTCAAATGTCATGCCATCGTTGCCAGTGTTCGGCATCTATGCCATGGCACACAATGTGCACATTGTCTTCGTGAGTATCACACACGCAGCAAACTTCAACAGCACTTGCAGCGCAGCCGAGCTTGCCGAGGAGGTCTCCAAGCTAGAAGGCTGCACAGTGGCATCCAAGCAGGCATTGGTTCCATCGAACAACAGCAGGAGCAAAGCATGCATGATGGCCTTGTCCCACCTTTACAGGCCCAGGGCCCGGCCTTGCCAGTCCGTGCTCCTGTTGAACTGGACCCAGAGCATACGGATCTCATTGACATGTGGATGGAACTTCTCTATCCTGAGATTGAGGTCGCGCAGCTCTTACCGATGATGGAAGCTGCAATCCAGGAGTTTGCCATTTCATGGACCAGATGTCAGCAGACACTTCGTGCATTTCGTGATGGTTTTGGTGAGGAACTTGTCATGATCACTGGAGTTTCACAGCAGGTTGTTTATCAGGCTGTGGATACTCTGCTTGACCCTGAACACTGGCCATTTTTGCGAGATGATTTTCGAGAAGCCAGCAGACCTGTTGATGATTTGACTCATTACACAGCATGGTGCTCCCGCTTGACGGCTTCTGGAGATGTGTGGATTGCGCAGAACGTCCCTCTGCCTGTTGGTCGAGAGCGCGTAGTGCTCCACGCATTTGCTGGCCGCAGGCGAGTTGGGGACTACCAGTGGTATCTGGAGCAATTCATGGCCCCTGTCGAAGGTGTTGTTCTCCATGTTGTGTCACTTGATATTATCATTGACGAGCACTATGGAGATTTATCTCGCAATGACGTACAACAGTACTGGCTCCATGGCATCCGCTGCGGTTGGGTGCACGCATTTCTGGGCGGACCACCCTGCTGCACATGGTCCAAAGCTAGGGCTGTTGATCTTGATGATGGCGATCATGGACGTTCAGGCCGCCATGGACCACGCCCAGTGCGCTCCGCACAGGACCTATGGGGACTGACTTCACTAAGCCTCAGGGAGATTGACCAGGTCGTTGACGGGAACGTCTTGCTGGGGTTCTGCTTGCTTGCGCTTGGTGAACTCGCTCTACAAGCTCGGGCTGGCATCCTTGAGCACCCAGCAGAACCAGCTGATGAGAGTATGCCTTCCATTTGGAAGCTGCCAATCGTGCAGGTTCTTTTAGGTCTCCCGGGTATGCAGAAGCTTCGTCTGTCCCAGGGGTTGTTAGGAGCCGACAGTATGAAGCCAACTGAATTGTTGGCTCTCAATCTTCCTAATCTACCAGCAGCCATAATTCAGTGGCGGGTCACCCCAGATGTTCCGAAGCGCGTGAACATTGGCCGTGACGCTGCAGGACAATTTTATACGGCCCAATTAAAGGAATATCCTCCAGCGTTTTGCGGCGCGCTAGCACTGGCGACGTACCACGCTGTCAGCAGTGCGAGCTCTGATGATGTGCAGATTGAATCAGAGTTTTTAGCATGCTGTGTAAAGATGCAGCAGGATTTCCAAGGCGAATTTATTGGACCGGACTTTGCACAGAACGGCTGACTGGTATTTTTGTCCTTTCTCACCATGCTTCGAATTTGACATGCTTGGCCGCCGCTTCATTGCACCTGTGAGCCAGAGTGAAAAAAATATACACTTAATATGCCGAATTGAAGCTATAAGATTATTAACTATAACTTCACAGATTGCTGCTTTAACTCGTTGGTAATTTCAACACCCTGAACTGGTCCTACGAGTTCAGAAAAAAAACCTTCCCATCTGTCGGGTCCGAGGCATTGACACTCAAGTCCAAACGCTTGACCAAGGAGTCCGAAATGACATGCCTTGTCGTTGTGTAAACCTCGATGGGATTCAATCAACAAAATAGCTCCAGATGGTGATTTTCAATCCCTTGCAGTATGATATATGATGTGAAATATGTGGATTTATACATACTAGTTTTCTAGAATGTGCTATAAAGTTTGCAAATAAAGACCCTTAAAAGGGTCCAAAGATTGATCTTCTTGCCGAGGATGGGACTCCCCAGAAACTCAGGTGCAATGCATCGGAGTTCTTCATTTGAATCTAAGAGGAACCCCAGAAAATTGCTACGATTTCATATGTTGTGTAGTGTAAGTGGTGTAGGATAGTCTAAGTCATAGATGTCCTTTTCCCATTGGTTGGTTGAATATATATATATATATATATATAGGGCTTTGAAGATATATACCCCTTTCACAACAGGTTTCTATGATGATAGATGGTATCTTTCCTTCATGCACTTTAAAAAAAATAAAAACAGCGAACATCAACGGAACCCCACTTGACCAGTGCATATGTTGGTGCTGGCGATTCGCCCCAAACATGTTTAGCCAAACATACCTCTGTGGGAATTCTCCATTACTTAAATAGGATCGTATCTGTATCCCCGTGTTTCCCGCATCATTGTTGGTCAAACCATCCAGCAACATGTCTTTTCATAGATGCTTTCGGGGTTGTTTTGGTCATGCCATTTACTGAGTTAATTACGATTATAGCATGACTATGATAGACCCATATAGTTGTGTTTATTCACACCAGTCCTATAGTTCTTCATGGCCATAGTTCAACGTTTTGGTGCATTCCCAAATTGAGACCATTGCCATTATCCCACTCTTCTATCTCCATTGTATCTGACATCTTGCTGGCTAAATCCATCTAAATCTAAATCCTTCATTTTAAAATGGTTTAATCCTCAAATTGACACCATCATTCCCCATTGAATTTCTAGGACATGTTCTGAATGAAATCCACTCAGCTCCCCAAAGATTCCCACAGGAGACCTTTGAGAAGTTTCATGGCAAGTGTGCACCTTAGTGCTGACCAAAGCGATTTCGCCAATGGCTGTGGTTCCAATGATACAGGATGGTGCCCCCCCAATTATGTTTGTTGGTTTATAAAGCCCATGAATACTATAGTTATATCATGTTATATCAAAGTTATATCAAAGTTATATCTAATCGTAGCATAAACCATAGTTAAGCTGCAACTATCTCAACTTAGCTATTTTGGGAGATATCTTGGGGGCTCCAGTATAACTAAGAGTTTAAGAAGATGCGAAGGAATTTGCACCAGCAAGACTGGACATTTCATCAGAGCGATTTCAGGTAAATGTTGAGGAGTTACTTGTGATGTTTCATAGTGATGTTGGGGTTGTGGCTGCGGTTACTTCTCAGTCCAGAAATAGCAGTGGTTCTAGACCACAACTACAGGTGAATTGGGATTTAGCCCCAAAAATGTTGATTGAACCAGCAGAAGTTGTGTTTTAACATGATTTTTCACCATTTGGTTGGTGGTTTGGAACATGTTTTATGACTTTCCATCATATTGGGAATGGAATAATCATCCCAGCTGACTTTTACTCCATCATATTTTTCAGAGGGGTGGCGAAAAACCACCAAGCAGCCATGATTATATATATATACCCTCTGGTAAACATACAAAAAGCCATGGAAAATCACATTTTTTTCCGTGAGTTTTCCCATGAAAGACCATCCAGTTTCACCAAGAAAAACTATGGACTTCACCTTAACAAACACCACGGCAGATTCAACGGCCAGCCATGGCATCCTCTAAGGATCGATTTGTCCAGGCACTACAAGCCGCCACCCGAGCCGCAGCCAGGCGAGCCTCCAATGATCGGATTTTATGGTAGACAACAATGAATACCCTCTGGTAAACTCACATAGCTATGGAAAATCACCATTTTTAATGGGAAAATCAACTATTTCTATGGCAATTTTCAATAGCTATGGTAAATTACCAGAGGGTAACCTACAATAATGGTTCCAATCTGGTTATAGAAACTATGAATAGCCGGATTTTATGGTAGACAATAGATGTATCAAATTTATTCAAACATCGGGCCAGAAAAGTGGCCGATAGACCAACTTATAACTGTAGGACGCCTCCCTTACCCCATGGGTCCCACGGCGGATTCCAGTGAGTTGGTGGAAAATGGTTGAAAGTCATAGCTACAGTCATAGCTACAACTGTCACATACTTTCACCCCAGGTGGTTCCCAGTTGGTTTGTTGGCTTTATATTTTGATTAACTAGTTGGGTATATTTACCACACACACCCACAGTTCTAGTGAAGCGTTCTTGCAGGGGATGAACCTGAGCCTGAAGTGCCATTGCCAGAGGCCGCAGATATTCGGATCTTTTTGTTTAAAAACACCATGGTAATGACAACGAGTCAAAAAACGATGGCAATTTCCAACGGGCAAAGATATGCAGATTTGTCATAATCCATTGGCATTTGGGTATCCCATCTTGAGACACATCATGACAAATCCATATAATTGTCTTATTGGTGGTTTGGAACATTTTTAATTTTTCCATATATTGGGAATAATCATCCCAACTGACTTTCATATTTTTCAGAGGGGTGGCTCAACCACCAACCAGTTGTCCCTCTTGGTAATGTTAGTTTCTTGTGGGTTTCAAATGAGCTTTCAGGTGGGGTCAAGTTACCAAGATGTGTACCCCCAGCCATTGGTCAGCTTAATGTCCGTCCCGATAGAAGAGTTGATGGTGGGTAGAAAAATGTAAAAAGCCTATGATTTAAACATCAGGCCGGGCCGAAAAACTACCTCAATTATGTGTGTAATTGTGGTGGGCCCAAGAGAGTTTGTGCTGGGCTTCATGTTCATCCGGTTGATATTCCTGGAGTTGCTAAAAATGATGCAAAGTGTGTTTCCCCATGGGAAGTGTTTTTTTGGGGGGGACCTGAAGCAAATCGAAGTATTTCTTAATTCTGTGGAGAAGTTTGACAGTCTCCAAACCGGGGACTTTCGGAGGATCATGTGATCAGCAGACTGATAGCATCAGAGAAGCTTCGGTGGTGCCATAACAGGAATATCATTTTGAAGTAGGTAACGAAGTCTAGTGAGTACATTGTACCAATTATACATAGCTGTTATGAGTCAAGGATAATGCCAAAGATAGAACCAAAGGTGACATTTACAAGATCAAGTGGATACTGACCATCAGCAATGAATATAGATACATATAGATTACCCAACCCCAGAGGGACTTCTGATAGGTAAGGGATCTGACCTGGTTGCTTACTCATATGTTTTATCTCCCATCCAACAGACATGTTGGTCCCAACTGACTGGGGCCTTTGCTTAGGATGTGAGTCCCACTTGCTATATGATTAATTGTCATGGTCATGTATAACTGCGATAATTGACCTTGTATAAATAATATACATATATATATATATGTGTGTGTCTTATTACTATTATATTATTATTAGCATCATACACATATATTTACATATTATGGACTATCAACTACAGTCTACCTGGTTCCCACATATCAGAACTATAGCAACTCACCCGAAAGAATGATTTGTTCAATGGCCATTTCAGGAACCTAAATTGGAGGTACCTACCATATATAAGGCCTATATAAGGCCTATGTAAGGGAATATCCCCACAAAATATGGCCTTATATGGTACAATACCTCCATTTTAGGATCCTGGAATTCCCATTGATTTGTCCAAGGATGAGGAAGTGATCCTCAAAAAATAACCGCTGAACCAACGGAGGAAGTGATTTTCCCAACCACTGGATTTGGGGGTTATGTCCTTGACCACATGAAAAATGACCATTTGGAAAGCAAGGGCTGGCAGTGGACATGTTTTCATGGGAAAATTCTATTATAAAATCTGAAATAAACCTGGATATCATCCGGTAATCAAACGTGGCAATTGAAAATCCTATACTTTTACTGTGGGTTCAAGGGGAAAACCATCTATAAATTAGGGTCCATTGCCATGTTTGACTACTGGAGGCTACTGTAAATTATAACCCAGTGACCACAGCGTCACTGGAAATGGTGGTTGGCAAGGGTAAATATCCCAAACTGGCCGTAGACTTTGAGATATTTCAGGTCGAGAAGATACTATGATTTATCCAGATAAATGAAGATATATGGAGATTTCCCCATTGGCCGAGATGATGATTCGCTGCAGCGATGAAACTCCGCAAGAGCATGCAAATGACGATGAAAAGGGAGTTCGAATTACTGTCGTTGGAGAAGATCCAGTGGCTGAAAGCGGACACAAGGTGACACTTATGTGGGTCGGCAATAAGACAGCGCATGTGTCTCCTTGGAAAATTTGGCGCGGCTGAACTAGAAAGTGGCAGGAAACTCTGCTGCTTGTCTCATCCAAATTCTTTCTTTTTTGCGAGCTTCAGAATGCAGGGCAGACGATAATTTATAGGTCCGGATGTTCATTTATAGTTTTTTCCATTTATCAGGAAATCCCATTTTAATATATATATATATATACACGGAGGATTTATCCAGTTATCTGCATTTGTAGTAATGGACATCCAGTTGAATGTAGATATCCCCATGGAGACATCCTTCCAAAAATCTGCCGAAGGAGGATGATGACTTGGGTGATCTGGGTGGAATGCTCGGGGGCCTGAGAAAAGTCACATTTTTTTGGATGCGTTGAACTATGGCATTACATGGGGCCCAAAATTACCAGAGATTTTATATACACACAAGAAAAACAAACACGACAACACGAGAAAATTCGTGGTTTAATCATGAATACTGGAGATTTAATGGTATAATGTCAGGGAATATAATGGGATATAGCAAACCAACTAACATATCCAACTTGAATCACTGGTCCACGTCAGGTGAATTCATAGAATTCAGCCAGAATTCTTCTGGAGCCTCTTACCACTTATATGAGAACACATCACAGGGATTATCTAAATGGTTCCTTCCAAAGATCAAAGTAACTGCCACGGAAGGCGTTCCCAACATTTTCCAGACCATTCGGGTGAATCCA